AGCCTTTCTCCCCGCCGTGGGTCTTGCAATGCTTGCAAGCCCCGCCAACTTCTCCAAAAGATAACACTGTAGGAGGAGAAACACAAAAAAAATTGGAGGGCGGGGGCTGAGAGTAAATTTTTCTCTATGGGAAAGTCTGAGGTTGGAGGGGATAGGAGAAAGGGCCAAGGGTGGGGAGCAGCATTGCCCAGTGCTGCCCTGGCCCCGGCTGCCTCCCAGCCCCAACCATGCCAGCCCTGGATGCCACACTGGCCATGGTTGCCTCCCAGTTCCAGCTGCACTGGCCCCAGCCCTGGCTGCCTCCTGGACCTGGCCCTGGTTGCCTTCAAGCCATGGCGGCACATGTCTTTCAAAGCAGCAGTGGTGAGGTGCAGAGACTGAGCCCACATCGCAGCTGTGGCCTGTTCTTGCCCATGCAAAGATCAAGGAGGAGGGGTAGCATGTGCCCTCCCTCCCTTGGCTGCCCGGTGCCACATCTCTGGATGAGGTGCCAGGCTCTGATTGTCCCATGACTTGGTCAGGTTGCCCCAGTCACTGTGAATGGGGTTCTGGCCAGGCTGGGTTGTAGGATAATCCCCACAGTGCAGGAGGGAGCGGGCCAGGGGCAGCTTCCCCAACCCCACTCTCCTGGAATTGCGCACACAGCCACCCCCACTACAATTACGTGCAGGGAGCTGATGCTTGGTTGTCCTGAGCAGCCCCGCACTTTGCAGGTGCAGAGGGCCGGGCTGGGCTGGTCCGGGCCCGGCAGGGAATGCCATCCCCACGCTGTGTCTCTGTGGGCAGGCGGCACCCCTGGGAGGGGTAACTCCGCTGCAGGGGGGCCCACATTAATTTTGGGAGGCTCTAGCCTCCAAGGCCTTCCTAGTGCCGTGGCCTTCAAAGTCACAGCATGGTGTGGTGCTCCTGGCCCGGCCCCAGCTGCCCCCCATTCCCCTTCCAGGTAGGGCATGACTCTCCCAGCCTGGCTTGGCCCCCTCCTCCCCAGATGCAGTGCTACTTGGCCCACAGGTGTGGCTCAGCTCTTTAGGCAAGACCCCAGCCCTGCCCCCCTTCCCCAGTTCCAGAGCTGGAGGAGGGGCCCTGCTTTCCCAGGGAAGCAAATGCGAAAACTGCAGTTTTAAACTTGGTGCTGAAAGCAAGTACCAAATTTAAGTTGTGGTTTTCACTTCTCTGGTGGTGAGGATCCCAGGGCATGTGTGCCCAGTTTTCCTGTGTATTAATCCTCCTATGGCCCAGCACCCCAGCCAGGCCTGCGCCCAGGGGCTATGCCCCCCCCGTGGTACGCCACTGATGGCACCTTCTGCTTTCTCTGCACTTCAGGGACCTGCTGCCCGCCCTTGTGGCCCTGGGGGCCGGGTGAGCAAGATCGCTGCGTCCCTGCATAGGGTCAGCCTTAACCTCAGTCCTGCTGTCCCCAGATTAGGCCTGCCAGCCTAACCCTGCTCAGGATCAGGCCTGCTGCCTCCGCCCCGCACGCTTCAGCCAAATCCCATGTAAGGGGTTGTGTTTTCTTCCTTACGGGGGTTGGAAAATTGACAGTGGGGGAGTGATGGCAGCTTTCATTCCCACCACTCCCCTCCCACATTTGTGACCATGGGGGGATGTCACAGGGCATCTCTGGCCTCTGGGCTAGGGCTGAGTGCCCTGCTCTGGGAGAATGATGTTATGTAAGGCACGGTGTGGGGGTGGGCATTGAACCCAGCATGGGCTTGACTGCAGTGGGTCACCCAAAAAGCTAAAATGCACCAAATGAAGATGTGAACTAGTACACACAAGTCAGAGCGTATTAAGACCTGTATGGTAACTCATTCACGAGCAAAGTACCCCTGGTTCACTGGAAGGATTAAAATAGAGGCTGCTTACAGGCGTTAACAGCCCCCCCCC